ATTTCCAAAAGAGGAATAGAAAGAGTGTGACAGGCGAATGGATTCCCGGATTCGATATTTCCGAAAGCGGAAAACAAGGGCCGTTAGATGAGACCAGAAATTCCCAGTGTGAGCATTTCGAGAATCATTTCTGGACCCGAGAGAGAGAGAGAGAGAGAGAGAGAGAGAGAGAGAGAGAGAGAGAGAGAGAGAGAGAGAGAGGGAGAAGAGGAGCGCAGCTGCCGTGATGGTAGAGATTGAATTGTGCTGCCATTTCGAGAGGTACAAATTAAAATGGGCGCAGAGAGAGAGAGAGAGAGAGAGAGAGAGAGAGAGAGAGAGAGAGAGAGAGAGAGGGTCTCGGAAGGGACAAAGAGGGAACGTGGTACCTCTATGTGCGTGTGTCAGAGAGAGAGAGAGCGTAACAATGTGTTTGAGGGGTGTGACGACACCAATTTTGCCAAGAAGATTCGGATTTGAAAAAGAAAAAGTTGTTTCGCTTTTGTTCTGGCCCCCCTCGCCCCCCTCCACGTCCCCCTGGGACGTTAAAGATGTCTATGATTTATTGAATTGAATGGAAACCCACACCGGGAGCGTGAGCACCCCGTCAATATGAAGGCAGGTTAGAGAGCTGGAGACATGGAGATGGATTGAAGAAAATAAAAAAGAGTTGAGAGAGAGAGAGAGAGAGAGAGAGAGAGAGAGAGATGGTGGGAAGAGTGGAAGTGGGCCAGAGAATGCAGTTGTGGCAGGTGTCAGGGACGAGATGGCGACTGAGATTTGACTAGATGGAGTGAGACAAGGGGAGGGGGAGGTGATTGGGGGAGGATGGGAGATGGAGGAGGAGGGGGGAGGTGGTGTGGGGAGCGTTGGGAGGAGTGAAAGACGGTGGCGATGAGTTGTGTGTCAGCATACGGAAAAAGGGACATGACACTGCAGTGACGTGCAGGAGGTGGGGACCACATGGATTGGCAGAGCTCCGGTCTTAACGCACCCTCGTTAGGTGGGGACCACGTGGGTTCGCAGAGCTATTGTCTTCCCTCGAACACAACGCACCCTTATTATGCATGTGTAATGGCCGTCTTTCCGGTCAGATACATGCATTGTGAGGGTGCGTCGTGTTCGGTGGGAAGACGGTAGGTAGTATCGGGCAGATTGGGAGGAGGAGGAGGTGGTGGTGTGACTAGTGACGTAGATTAGCAGAGAGCGAGTGCAAAAATGTGGTCCCCACCTTTGGTTAATGCTCATTTTTTTCCAGTGGTGGGGACCACATTTTGGAGGCCTCGAGAGCAAGTAGTGTGATGGAGATGTCGGGTGCATGTGGGGGAGAGGTAGGTGGTGTGAGGGAGCAAGTAGTGATGGAGAGGTAGGTGGTGTGAGGGAGTTGTCGGACACATTGGGAGGAAGAGGTGGTGTGAAGAGATGCGGCGGAGATTACCCTCTTCCCCCGAATAGAACGTAACTGTCATTAAAAAAAAAAAAGAAAAAAAAAAAGGACGTAATTGTCATTATAGCTGTATCTGGCTGGGACATAACTTTCAGCCTAGATACAGTGATATGACCTTTTTTTTTTTTTTTTTTTTTTGTGGTTGGTTGGTTAAAGCCCCTCTTGCAAGGCCCCTATCCCAGCGGCGGTAAGAGAACCAGCAGGGTCGTTTTATTCGAGGGTTGATGGTAGGATCCACGGTGTTTGGAGGTCACCCTTCGTTTTCGTACTTTGTGTCAGTGCGAAGGAAGGTTGTTGGTTTTTTTTTTTTTTTTTTTTTTTTTTTTTTTTGCGAAGGAAGTTGGGAGATGCTACCGTCGTTTTTTTTGGTTTTGTTTTGATTTTTTTAAATAATTTTTGACCATTTCTCAAT